GCCCAGCCGCAGCCCTGCCCCGAGGCGGGGGCAGGGGTATAAGGCTGTCCAGCACCCACCTGTCCATCAGCTGGCCCCGCAGAATGGTGGGGAGGAGGTCGAGGCCATCTATCTCCCGGTCACTGGGTGGCTTCAGGCCCGCCAGAGACAGGCTGGTTGTGAACAGATCCATGAGGCTGCCCAGCTGGTGGCTCACCTGAAACCGGGCACGAGGCCAGCCTGAAACACACAGGGCCCACTGGCCTGCTCTGCCCTGGCCAAAGGGAGGCCGGGGGCTGGGGCTGGGTCTAGAAACGTGTGTTCACGCTCCTCCTGTACGCCACGTGCCCCTGGGGGCCAGGGAGCCCAAGAGCAGCCAGGAGACTGAACCGGGCCCAGAGTGGGCCTGTGCCCTGCCCTCCCACGTCCTCCTCCCTCCTCTGGCCCGGCCAGCACGGGAGACGGGCAGACAGGCCCCCAGTGCCCCGAGCCCACAGCGCTATGAGCCCCAGGGACTTGGTGACAGAGTGTGGGGATGCCCAGGGTCCAGGACATGGCACAGGAGACTCCATGGTGCAACACAAGCTCTGCGGGAACCAGCCCTCCTAACACCCCCAGGAGGACAAGGACACCCACCTGACCCCCCACGCACCAGCTGTCCCCTGCTCATACCCGACACGGGACATATCATCGGTGGCCGACCTTGGCCACCTGGGTCCCTTTGCTGGCCTCACTGACCCCCGCTGTGTGCTGGCAGTCTGGGACAGGAGGTGGGCAACCGGGCCAGCCCTGCCATGCGTGGGCATTGGGCCGCACTGCATGGCTGCCCCAGTGCTCAGCCAGGACCTCAGGCCACTGTCCCGGGTAAACGGTGCTTCCCGCAGCCCTAGGGCCTCCCTCGCTGCGCCAGGTAGAGCTGCCGGCTGTCAGCACACGGCCAGACCCCTGGGCTCCTGCTATGTCCCTGTGCACAGGAGGGAGCTCGTGTGGAGACTGAGCACACACGTCACTGTAAGGTTATCCCCACAGACAGGTGTCCCCAGAGGGCAGCAGGAGGGAGGACAGCCCGTGAAGAAACCGTGGTGTCTGCAGCACCAGAGTGCCCACTTCCGGGGCGTCTGGGTCCAGGGTCCGTTACAGGAGAGCTCACAGAGGGGGTTCTCAGCTGAGGGTGGCCAGCCTGGACCCAGGGGGAGGGGTTAGAGGTGAAGGTGCTGCAAGGCATGAAGGCCGGCCCGCTTGGGCGGAGGGGTGACCTCTGTGCATCGCCTGGCACCCCGTACTGGGCCACGCTACACATTGCTGCTGGTTTTCTTAGGGCCTGTCCACAGAGTGCTGAGCATAGTGGCTGAAACCTCTGCCCGCTGGAACTCCTTGCCACGAGCCACGGCACCCATCGGCACAGGAAGGGCCGCTGAGCCGCGCGGGGCAGAACCCTGGCACTCCCACTTGCTCTGGACTGTGGTCCTCCCGCCACACACATGCTGCCCACGGGACGCCGCCCAGTGCCCCGTCTGCACGGGCACAGCAAGCCCAGCACACTGGGAGGGACAGTGGGTAGAAGGAGGCGTCCAGCAGGGGGCACGGTGCCCCCAGACGGCCACTGGACTGCTATGGGGCAGGGTGGCCACCCAACTCACCTGGCCCGCAGGGATGTGCCCTGGCCACCAGGCAATCGCAGGCTCCCGCATCCCCCCTTCAAATGTGGTCTGTTTCCCGCACAGAAAGGGACCGTTGCTGCCACCTGGTGGAGAGTTGTCCCCCGTCAGGCCACCTGGACCTGAAGCCCCAGCCCAGTGCGAACAGCACCCACCCAGAGGAGACCCGGTCACTACAGCCAGCCACAGGAACAGGGCACAGGTGGGAGCCCAGGCTGCGGCACACATCGGAGAACCTCTGGGCCTCTGGGGAGTGTTAGACCCTGACAGGACGTGCTGCCACAGGATCGGGCACGCGGTCATGCTCAGCACGGGGACCCCGCGTGCCGGGAGCCACTAG